TCTGACACCAGTTTTTTTTCTACCCTCAGTTTTACACCCCTGGGGGATACACAGCATATATCATATTTAAGAATATGAACCTAGTCTGCATGTTTATTTATGCATGTTAATAATGCAGCTGTTTACTCGTTTAAAAAACAATTTATCAGAGCATTAATTATGTATTTATATTCAAGTTTATCAAATGTGCGTGTGTTTATTTATACATACATTATGTGTGTATGGACTGTTACAGACTATCATAATGTAATTAAATGAAGCTTCAGTTTATGTACTTCACTGTTCCTGATTAATATTGTTATTGGTCTCCTCTTGCATTTCCCTTTCTGTCAGTGATTTCTTACTTGAGCTGGAAAACATTCATACATGATGTCAGGGCTGGATTAAGGCCTTTGGGGGCCCTAGGCACAGCTAACATAGGTGCCATTGCTATCCTGCCATTTCCATAGATATGGTTACAGTACTATATACAACACTGCCAGTGAAATCAGACTATAATATACAGGGCCCCTTCAGCCTTGGAGGCCAGCCTGTGGAATCAGGCAATAATATATTAGGCTCCTGTAGCCTCAGGGGCCCTGAGCACATTGCCCACTTTGCCCTATTGATTCTCTGGCCCATTGGCTGATAGTAGCTTATTGATAGTTGTCAAGCTGCTTTTTTACAGTATAATTACTAAGCCATATAAGAACTCTAGGAATTCTGTACTGAATATAGATATCCACATAGATTGATAATGCCCTATTCATTTCTGCATGGAGAAAACTGATTGTGCCAGCAATATGGTTGTATCTTACACTTTTTACATAAAATGTATATTTTCAAAATGGTTATATTAATGGCAATTACATTTCTTTGCATCTTTATTTTACAGTAATTATGTTTTAGTCATTTATCATCACCTTGTATAAAGTTAGTACATGTTTAATTAATGTTATGTTTGTTTTTTTGGTATTAAATTTATCTTCCTTATCTTTTTATAGGCATGAAATATGAACAAAGAGACCAAGAAAAATCAACAGTTGTCTACCTGTATATTATTTAAAAGGACAGCTGTATTTTGTTGAAAGAACTTTACAAAATGAATTTTTTCCGGCAATGTTGAAGAAAATCCTGGACCTTGTGTGGTAACGTTTTGTTTATACTGCCATTTACACCTTTGTGCATACTCATACATATTAAAAATTGTCATCTGAAGCAGTGATTTGCATATAAGTAATACATGGAATATTTACGACAGAATTCATTCACTTAAAGCATTAGTTTTTAAATGCAGTTTTGATCACATGATGGGGTCACATGGTCACTTAATTCAAATGGCACAGTAAGCCCATAAGACGATCGAAACATACACCATGGATGAATTTGATTCTACCTAACAAATCTTACAGTAAGATTTAATAATAAATTTAATAAAAAAATATGTTTACAACAAAGTTGACACACATGCCAAATATGCCCTTGATTATAACCTATGATTTTCACTCTGTGTTTACCAATTATGAATCAAGGTTAGGAACTAGGTGAGAAAAAAATAAAATGTAGCAAAATAGAACTAAACTGAATTTTCCACAAAAAAAATCAAATAAAGTGAATAAAGCTATTGTTACAATAACACTTGAATAAAAGTAAACTAAAATAAAACTTTTAAAACCAACACACAAGTAATTAAATGACATATATGTAACAAATACTTTCAAAGATAGGCTTATTTTGTTTTAGCAGTGTGAATTTCTTTGCACTGGTGCAGTATTTTAATTCTCCATATCATGCCCTACAAGTAGACATAGTGATGATCCTATTTTTGGTTACTTCATCTCTAGATTCATTGTTCCTAGGAATCTTGTACAGAAACATTCCAAACAGTGCAATTTTTAGGACAGCATGTAATCAGTCATATTCATCCAAGCATGTGGAAAGACTCTTTTCAGTGTAGTGATAGAAACGAGTTGGAAATACATGTATTAAAACACATGTATTTAGTAAGTAATAGGAAATTGAATAATAGTTCATTTTGTTTCTTTTGGTGAAGCATTTGTGTTGCAGTTTATGTATTTCTTTGTCTATGTGTGTATTGTAAAGTGTGATTCAATTACTGTCATATATTTATTGTTAGGTTCAGGTATAATGTTGTCCTTTAAACAATAATACTAAATTGAAACCTTTGAAAGTTCAAATCATGTTACACTCGGCACAAGAAGATGACCTCCCAAAGAAAATCGAAGTAGGGCTGTGAAAATTATTTCTCTTAGGACAATCTAATGTGGCAGGTGACAGTATTTTGGTCATTTTGAAGACATTAATATTATAGTAACTTTGTAATTTCAATAATGCTTCATTATTCAAGTTGTACCTATTTGGCTAAACTATTTTATTTACTGTTTATCATGTTAAAATTATGCTGTCCATAGCAACAGTTGCAGCAAATTAATTTCAGTGGTTGTTAACAATCATAGAAGAACCTATATGTGTACCTTGTTTTTTATTCACTGAAATCACATTGTTTTTTATTTAGGCCTTCTGTGTACTTAACAAGATCATATGTGTATTTCTTGGAGAACACTTGCATGTTCAGAATATGTCTTGCTTTGCATTTCTTTATGTACTGTTTTATGTAATCAACATGATATGTAAGGTTTTGTTATAATCAAAATATTTATGTTAAACATTTTAAAAGTTTCAATTTTATCACTTTTGCAGGAGCAGTTTTCTTTTCATGCTATTGAAGAATTGGAACAAACTTTACCTCTGGGACAGTTATCTGCATTTATGTCCAGTATCATTGGTGAGATATTACAAGTATTTTCATTAGAAATGTGTCTTGAAAGTAAATGATGTATGGCTTTGGTTCACTGAGAGTTCTGTTCATAACCTAACTTGCAATATGATATCAGTTATCCATATTTTATGCTATAATTAAACATATGATTTTCATATTTGTCATGATGTACAGTTACCTTTTATTATACTGTAACATTGAAATTTGAGTCAGTTAATACAGAAATTGTTTTCTTTTTCAGTTGATATTTAATGATAAAAGTCTTGTTTCATATTTTGTTGACTTCAAATTCTCACATAAAATAAATTATTCATTTCCTATATTTTGTCCTTTAATATATATTAAATATTCTTTTATGCAGAACAAGCAGTTATTATTGAAGTGTTTGCAACAAAATATCACTTGAGGTATAGTTGCAGTATATTGTGGTATACCTTGTTGCTTTTTAATTTTTGAGGTAACCAACTTGACCTTGGATCACAATTAACAAATTCTCTGTCATAAGTCACAGCCTTTGTGTAATATTTCACAAACATGATCATTTTCATAGCTGCCCAAATATTAAGGTCATTTGATATACTGTTGATGAAAACCATGACAATTATAAAATATTATTTATTATGATATTCAAGATGTTTGATATACAGTTCACTCTTTTTCTGTCTACAGCGATCCAAGCTATATCTCCTTTTACTGGATGAGGATTTCAGAATACCACCAGAATAGAAACAGTTCTTAATATGGCAATTTAGTTATACAGGTTTTTGACGAGCAGATTAATTGCCATCATGAATGACTACGATAATGAAACAGAATTGAAAAATCTAGTGTGAAGACTAAAAGTTAGCAGATTGAAAATGGGATTTTCTACACTTATAATACCTGTTGAATTTATCGCACATGTCTAGATTGTTTCAGTGATAGAAAACAAGAACAGTATTATGCCTTGAATATAAATGGTATAAAGTTCATGGATTGTCAAGTAGTAAAAGATACATTTTTACAAATATTGAAAGGGATGAAAATGCAGCAATCACAAACATACAAACAGTGATATCAAGAGGTCTATCATTCAAAGATATGAAAGTAGTAGAGTTGTCGTCTTGCCGAACAAACACAATGAAATTTTCAGCCTTCAATAATGATGAAATTTCATTTGTACATGTAACCTTCAGTTCCCGTGTTCAGCATTACATTATTTCCTGTTCAAATGGTTTCTGCAGAAGTAGAAAAGGATTCAAAAGAGATGTAGATCAGCTCATGCAAACTGAAATGGGATGAAGGACACTTGTTGTGCATTCATGTTGCTATGAGGGATACTGCTGCAGGTGATGAGATTGGTTGTGCATTTGTAAACAAGGTCTTTTTCATATTGTTGTCATCTATTTTACTTGGGTTTTAATGAAATGCATCAAACATCTTCATTAGATGAATATTTTAAACTATTTTTTTCAATATTTCTATTTGAACCGATCTATTGATGTATTAAATATAAATGTTTTCAAAGTTCTTGTATGCTATTCTTGTGGTTGGAAATACATAATAAAAGTTTTCAAATGACTAGTATCAGTTTGTCTCATTCTCACTGTCTCTCTCAATATGTATGTCTCCTGCTCTCTCACTCTCACTCACCTGTCTCTTTTGCTCTCTGTCTCTTGATCGATCCCTCTGGCTTGCTCTCACTCGCTGTCCCTTGCTCTGTCTCTTTCTGTCCGTGTTTCTCCGTCTCACTTTGTTTTGCTGTGTGTGTATGACTCGTGCTCTGTTTCCGTCGTTCTGACTCGCTTGTGAAAATTGAGCAAATTACCCTGGGCTTTTAAAAAGTCTTTGAAAATTGAATTAAACCCAAACATTTTAATTTCTTTCTATAATCTCAAATAAAATGACTAGTTTAGTTTCATTGCCGCCGCAATAACAAACGAACATTTGAATTTCATCATTAAACGATACACTAGTATTTTGCATTCGTTTTCACATTAAACATAACTTCTGGTCTTTGAAAGCTTAGGAAAAGTCTTTGAATTTATATTTCAAAATTCTGTATGAACCCCCTGGTCTCTCTCTCTCTCTCTGCTCTGCTCTTGTGCTAACTAAGCTTTGAGTGTTTTTTTTGTGCTAACTAAACTTATTGTTTAGTGTATGCGGGGTCTTGTTTGTTGTAGTGTATGTGTGCACTGGCTTTTTGTAATTATGTGTATTACCCAGAAAAACACGTATTGACGACCGCTTAAGTGACCTAGGGGTTAGATCGTCCGCCTCTGATGTGGGAGGTCATGGGTTCGATCCCCAGCTGAGTCATACCAAACACTTAAAAAATGATACTAACAGCTGCCTTGCTTGGCGCTCAGCATTTAAAATGTTAGTGTTAGGACTGGTCGGCCTGATGTCAGGATATTGTGACTGGGTGTGATACCTCAAAGCTAGACATCACTATAAACTGCCACACTGCAGACATCGTAGAGAGATGACTGAAATTTTTTTAAAGCTACGTGAAAAATCCAAATCACACCAATAACAACACGTATTGACACCATGCTCTCCACCAATTCAATTGCATTTAAGTAAATATCTGGTCAGGTCTTGATAGTGATAGGGAACGCAAACAACCAAGTTAAGAAAACAAGGACTGTTCTCCAACATGTTCTCATATCCTTAATTAGCGACAAGTTCACCGATGCTAGGGGCATATAAACGCTTATTACTTTTCTATCCGCTATAAAAGGTTCTTGTAATCTCAAGGTCTAACCCCATATACACCAAGCATTTACTAGTTCTCCCATAAGTACCTATTTATATTTTTTCAATAGAATGTCAATAAAATAATTATACATTCCATAAAATAATTATACAGGCCCGTTTTAAATACTACAAGGAGTCCAGTTGTAACCTACTGGGCAGAGTATGGAAAGAAAAATTCAATTCAATAGTAGATAAATACTGTGATTGGTGAAATATGCTACTGAGATATCTAAAATTATTTTGCTGAGAATCTTCTGCTGAGGTATGACTTTTAATATGGATAACAATTTTTCCAGTACACTCATTGGCTCATACAAATGTAACAGAAGAAATGAGTAAAGTCAAGCTTTGTATATTTTAACAAAACAATTTATTCCCCCCTCCCCCAAAAATGTAAAAATTGGTAAATAGGACTTGCAGTGTGTGAATATAATCAAAATTGAATCCTAAGAATAAAAAATATAAGTCCTATCACAAAAAAATTGTATTAGAATCCATGTTCAAATCTTGACAACATATAAATATGTAAAGCAATGATGTCAGATGTGGTTCATGTATGAATATCAACAAAATTCCTCAATTGAATCAGTTTTTGTTTCTGAATAATTCCAGAATAAATTTCCATGAATATCTTTCAGAATTGTTTATCAGAATGTCAAGTTGTTGAGTTTCCAGGAGAATAAATTATTAAATCCAAAATTCAGATGAAAAAAAAACAATCTGGCAACAAATAAAAAACCACTTTGTTCCTTCAAGATGTTAACACAACACTAACAGAAAAATATTAAGAACGCATATTTAAATCCCATAAGCATCATTTCAGTCTCATATGGTCTCTTACTACAAGAGATCTTTAACATACACCAGTGTAACCCCACTTAAGAACCAATCATAAAAAATGTTCACACATAGTGATCATGCAAGCAATGTATGGCATTGATACTGACCAATCATTATAACTTCCTGTTTACAAACTTCCCATCCCAAGATTAAGTAGGTTAATGAAAAATAATTATCATGTAACACATTTTATGTCTTAGATAAACAATATTTACTAAAAGAAAATGCTGAATTACTTGAAAAAAGAATTTCGACTTTCATAAAAATATTCATTAAAATAAAATGGAATGAAACAAAAAATAGAAAGAATTTTAAAACACACAAAAAATTTAATTATATATACGTAACAATGATAACAGATCAATACTGTGATTGGTGAGTTATGTTATTGATATAACTGAGGATATAGTAGTCATAAAATTAAGAATGTAGCTGTTTCTTCTGATTCAATTTTGTCACTATTTTAAGAAACATATATTGTGGAGGCTTAGAAGTATGACAATGTCTGGCCTACATGTATGGTCCTATGTGCATGCAAGTAAATACAAGAAATATCATACAATGTTAAATGTTTTATTAATTTCTTTTACACAGATATAGTAAAAATCATAATATCTGAATACAAACATAATTTGAAGTCATGGAATGAAAAAGATTTCAAATAGAACTAATAAGAACACTGCTATCGCTACTTTTCATTTATCTCCTTAATACTTGTTAATACTTAATACGTGTTTAACATGTGAAATGAGTCTTAATTTAAATGCAAAAGGTCAAGCACAAAAATGCATCTTCTTAGCATATAAATTTTAATTATGGTTACAATGAAATTAATGGTTTTTACGAATCACGATATAAATCATACAATAATCATAGTCTGTCCAGGTGTGTAGGATGGGGGTGCTTAAACATTATTGAACAACATTTGGGACACTATAGGGGATAATGAAGGTGGGGGCTTGGTAAGAAGTTATTGCAAAGCAGGATATCTTTTATTGACAATATTTTATCTACTTGAAATAAATAAATCATATTTAAAACATTATTAAAGCACATTCTGAATGAAAAGTAGCAAGTAATGAATAATACAGTACAACCTGCCATTCATAAAAATCACCACTGTGGACATAAAGGACAGATATCATTTCCAATTTATGTCTGAGTAAAACCTTATCACGGAATGTCCAGAGAAACCATATTATGGTGGCTGTGACAAAAAGCCATGTCACAATACTGCTTTGTCAAGAGTAAAAGCATGGGAACAGCAGCAAATGTGATCAGAAATGTACACTAACAATGAATTAGCAATACAAATAACATGTTTTTTTACCAATAATTGGTGATTCTTGAAAATTAGTGCCATTTAGAACAGAAGAATTCTGTTTGTGCTCTTACAAACTTAGTAGAGGTCACACATTCTCTCTGTATATCTGCAATCTGTAGCAGGTACATGGATTTCAGTGGAGCATAACCTTGTTCCTCTCAATCATAAGAATGACATTCAGCACTGGATCTGAAAGATAAATACTATCAGTCAGGAATAACAATAAGAAAACACTGACTTAGTACAGAGTTTCTCTTTAATTTACTAAGGATACTAAAAAGATGTACAATCATAATGACCTGTGGTTCTCATCAAAGAACCCCATTTTGAAGGATTTTATTACACTGTTTTGATTAGCGAATTATTTATTGGTTTTTCTCCCATTTAGCAGCATCATATCAAAGAAGTATAAGTGAGGAAGAAATTTTAACAAGAATATTTGTTTAATGAAATAGATGATGTTTCTTTGTTGATATTGTGCCTTACATTGCAGGTGCTGATTTTGACAGAAACTTTTACAACACTGAAAACAGACTGGAGACCAATACTACTACCTGCACAGACCTACTGGGTTAGCATAATTATGGTTGGAGAGAACAAAAAAATTTGTTTTAATCATGTGCTGTAGAGTTTTGGAAACTAGATGTAGCAGCCTTGCCATAGAATCAACTCTTTCTAAATTTATGAATTTTTAACCCCTAAAGTGTCAGTAAAGTTAATTTTGTACATTTTCTTTGATAAAGATGATTTTAGTCTTTAAAATTTGAAATTTCATTTACACCATAAAAGTTAACGCAGGACCATACATGTCAAATCTCCCGATTTGTCCAGGAATCTTTTGATTTTCAAACCCATCTTTTGATCTACCAATTTGCTGATAAGATCTTTAAAAAATAAAAAAAATTCCCAAGCATAGGTATTTCCAGCTAATAAAAAAACCAATTTGAGAAATAACCCCAAATGTAATTCATCCCCATTGCAAATTATATTCTGAATTACTTTTGTTCATATGGAGCAATATGGCAGTGGAAGGAGGCACATCACAATTGGAATATCAATTGGCCTTTGCTGTTGTACAGTACGTAGTGCGCTCTGCCAGAGGCAAATGACCAAACATATAAAAACTGATGCATATTCATACAACTACTTCTGGGATTATTTAAAAAATTCTGGTGACATATCAAAATGTCAACTAACCAATTCGATGGAAATTATGCCTTCAAAAAAAAATAGTTTGCAACTTTAACATGCTTGGATAGGCGAATTTAAATGTGTGAAGCGTAGCGAAAAGGTTGAAAGCTTTGAGTACTGCACAGCTTACAACACACAGTTGAACATTTCTAGTTGGGGAAAAATGATCTCACAAGGCACTGGAAAAGTATGCAGTATATTGCAAATGAGAAATCGTCACATAATGTGCCTAAAGTAACACAAAAACATTTGCACCAACATCAGTAGACAGTGTCACTAAAGCAGAGGTTCTGTTTGCTAACTTTGTGGCAGAGCATAATTTACCATTCTTGGTTGCTGATCATTTTAGTGAGCTCTGTAAAGTTATATTTCCTGACTCGCAAATTGCTCAGAAATTTCACTGCAAAAGAACTAAGGTAACAAACACTGTTAACAATGCACTAGGTCCAATGTATGACAACCAAGTAACTTTACTATGCAAGGAAAACCCTTTCTCAGTGATGATGGATGAGTCTAGTGACAGTGGTGATGAAACGTGTAGCAATTCTTGTAAGGGTGTTTGACAGTGACAGTCACAGAGTGACAACCAAATTCCTGTCTATGTCAATTTGCAATATTGGAAATGATGAAAACCTTTTCAACTGTCTTTAAGAAGTCTTAACAAAGAGACAGAACCTTGTAGGGTTTAGTAGTGACAATGCAAATGTTATGGTTGGAAAGAAAAATTCCGTCCTCTCTGGAGTTCGTGAACAGCAGCCATATAACAAAATTAATAAAGTTAACTATTATTCATTATAGTTATTTTATTTAGTTGTGGTACAATCTGCACTTTCACACTTATACTTTTGAGAATTATAGTTGATATGATAATCACCCTGATTTTGACCCAATCTCCCTGACTTTGAACACAAATCTCTGGAAAAATTGGCATGTATGCAGGACATTAATTTAAACTCAATGCCAAACTGCCAGTCTGCGACTCTGTTGTAGTTTTTTGTCATTCAAAAAAATAATGATATATGTGTATTTATTTACAAAAGCAGCGACCACTGAACAAGTCAAAAGCACATTTTATCCTTGGAACTGCTTTAATTAAAATAAATCTAAATGACAGCTGAATATATGACTTATTCCAAACTGACTGAAATAAATACATGCGCTAATTTACATTCTGTTGATACTTCCCTACAAAAAATGTTTTATT